TATATATATATATATATATATATATATATATATATATTTTTACCAAAGGTTAAACTTTTCTAATTTATTTATTGAGCTACGAATATTTTTTAGATATTTTATACTTTTCAAAATCTACAAAAATTATAACTTGTTTGACACGATAACATATTTTTTTTTCGATATATTATAGTTTGTTTTTTCAATTGAAATGTTCCGTTTTCGACATCTTAGCATCACGTGTTAATTGCACTGAAATAACATCATGCGTGTATCGAGAATTGACAACGAATTTATCAAATGTTAATTCCATCATTTCATTAAATTACCTTATCTTAATTATTTAAGAATAATCCTTGTCGAGAATTATGCTCCTTGTAAGTAAAGTCGGCGTTTCTAGGCAATATTTTCTAGAGAAAGATGTGATAGACAGCATCGCCACTCTTTTTATTCACACGTCAGTTAAGATGTATCTGAAGCTCATTGTAGTTCCTTTGATCATAGTAGTTGATTTCGTTTGTTATTCACCATTTTTCAACTCGGTAATAATTTGATTCGTTTTTACAAAATGGTGTTAAATTCACTGTATTTTGGGCTCTGCACTGATATCTGAATAAGGAATTTGATCAGCTCAGTGCTGTCTGATGATGCACAGAACGCAGGATGATGAATAGTACTCGTATGCAGACAATACAGACTGGAGACAGTAAAGGATGGTTATCTACAATATCTACAGCTACTTAAAAGCGTTAGTATCATCTGAACTGAACACTATTTTAGCTGCTAGAATTGCTTTTCACCACAAAATAATAATGCTAAAATATTTATAAGGCAACTTTAACAACTTCTGTAAGCATACTTCAGTAACATATGAGTATCAGTTTTAAAGTAGTAACCAGAGTATCAACGGTTTGTTTCTTATTCCAATTTCTTACTGAAACGTACTGGCGCCGAGATCAAGCGAGATTTGTGGATGCCATGGTAACAAAAATGGTAAAAGTGGAGTGAATGAGAAATTTAAATAAATATTCTACTTACAAAGATTATAATATAACCGAAATATACAGTTCCGTAAAGATCATCAAAAATATATATTTTTAGAATTTTGACGATAACTGAGACATAAACTTATACACGTTGAAAAAACTCGTTATCGAAATCTGAAGCATCAAAACCAGTTTAATTGCCGCAGTAGGCGGAGAAAATTTTAGAGGTGAATATTAGAGAGTGAATATTAGAGCTTCCGTACGTGAGATTTGAAGTAATTGCACATTCGCACTTTAAAAGCATTTTTCTGGTGAAATACGCATGCGCCCGTGATAAAATATCTAACTAGCGTGAATAAAAATTAGAGATTCTGCAGAAACATATAACTTAAAAACGTAAACGTAGTGGGATATCATCGTAACGTCATCCACAAAATCAAAACAATAATTTACAATGGACGGGAGTGTTAAGGAAGTTAAACGTCTTCCAACTAAATTGTATAATTACAGTAAGTATATTCAAATAACTTAAAAAAGTTTAGTTTCCTATAGATCATTTTATTTAAACAACCATAACTTTAAATTAAAACCAATAAAACATTTTTTTATTAAATCAACCAATCGTTGTAAAATCACACGATTCATATTAACATTTTGTGATAATGAATCTACCATCTTCATTTTTATTGCGTTTTTCTTGATCAATATGCAACATACTCATGTAATTATTTCGCTTAAGCAGCAAACAGTATTAACAACTAAGAACAATGTGCTTGTAGTTTTGTAAAACTACACCAATAAAATTTTAATATAAGTGGAATAAAGAACATGCGGATGCGTAATTGCTACAAATCTTGCATACGGTAGCGAACAAAACCTGACAAATTTGCAGAATCTTCTTATTCAAAGCATTTTTGAGCTTTGACGCAATTCGTCAGATTTAGATGCTTTGGGCAACCGCTTTTCAGAATTTTGATTGGTCAAGTTTCAATTTTTTTGTAGAATGTTAGTTTGGGACAGCTTACACGTTTGTTCTCTTCATTCTGGGCAATGATTTTGAAATTATGTTTTGAGAGAGGTCTTCGTGAAACACCCAGCATGTAAAGAAGTATTATTCACAATGGTTTTGAAATCACGAGACTTAGTTAGGAATCCTTTGCAGGCTTTCCGTTTCGATAAGTTGAAAAAAGATAATAGTAAATATATTACACAATAGCTTCATAGACAATAGCTTACACACACACGCACACACACCACACACACATATATATATATATATATATATATATATANATATATATATAATAAATGCAACTTTAAAAATGTTTGGTTATTAGGAAAAAACAATGCAAAGAAACCTAAATATAATATTTTAATTATTCTCAGGTTATAGGAAACCAAGTCTTGTGGGATGCAGAAACTCAGGGCCATATCATGAGCGCCAGCTTCTTAGGATTTGTGTTAACAAACATACCTGGTGGGCGATTGTCTGAAACTGTTGGAGCAAAGGAAATCCTCTTATTTAGCTTAGGATGTGCTTCAATAAGCAATATACTGTCACCACTGGCATCGACTTGGGGTGCTTACGTTCTTCTGGGAATGCAACTTGTCAAAGGCTTAGCACACGTAAATTCTAATCAAACTTTTTAGTTTAAATCTCTACACAGTCAAATTTATTCTGTCTCTGTATTCCATGATGTTTACACTTGAAGAGCTTTGTAGCAGAGCATGATAAGTGATATATTAAGAAATCCATATTCCAAGTTTTACAACATGTTATGCTCGGCTGTGTTGAAAATTATTTTATTCGGACATAAGACGGTTATAGATGGTAAATTTAGGTTCCGTTATTGCCTTTTTATACGTTTATTCACTCTTTAAACTAGTGGATCATTATATCCTCTTTGAATTTTTCAGAAACTGATTTTGTCACTAAGCTTTTCAAATGTATTACTTACATATAAAACATTCCCGATAAGACCAGTTTATCAGCTCTGGAGGTTAAGTGTTCAAAGTTTAAAGATCATAATGCGGTCAACATTTTGCAGCAAACATCTTCATTTCTCAAACAAGCTGGTATCCATTAATCTAAAGCTAATTAAGCCCAATCGCAGTCTCGCTCAGTGACAGCTTAGTAACTTAACAACAAAACCATCCTGGTTCATTTTTGGGTTTAGTTAGTGTTATTTGGGGGTACTTCAGAACATAAAGATTCATATTAAATTCTCAATTTATGAAATTTATTTACTTTCATAGTTTGCACTAATATTGAGATATGCGCGTGGAAAAATATATAGTAATGAAGTGTAGTTATTTGTGTCGCTACGCTACCGTCTTTCAGAAAGCTGAGTGGAGAAAATGGTTTAATAAAAAGAAGGCCATGACGTTTCCTGATGCGGTAGTATGCATTAATAAAGAGGTGCGTCGTAGAATATAAGTCGTAGAATATAACTTTTCAGTCATGTCATCTAGATTAAGAGATGGAGAAAACTAAAGCTTGTCGTAACGAAAGACGATAAATGGAGCAGTGAGATGTGTGATGCTGCCATCTATATCTAAATCGCGTATCGCTTAGAGCAGGGTTTCTTAACCTGTGGTTCATGGACCCCTTAGGGGTCCATCGGTCATATTTTGGGGGTTCGTCAACTACTCCTAATTTTTAAAACGTTTTGATCAATAATATTTAAATAACATAGATTTTTTTTTTGTTGTTGCTAAAAAGTGAAAATTTATACGCATTTGAAACTAGGTGATCGAGATACCCCAAATTCAGTGCGGACTGCACACAGCCCTCTAATATCCCTGTCATATTTATATCATCCTCCACTAACCGGCTTTAAGTTTGCACCATCAGGGGCACCCCCCTGAGGACGTCTGCTGTGCTATTTTTATAATCCCCTATCAAGCTACGTACATTTGACACCTTGTCCAGGTTACTAGATCTAGAATTTTTTGCTAAGAAGAAATTTGCCAGTTTTTGAAATCTGGAACATTAACCAAACTTGGATTTGGTATTCCACGAAAACCTCTGGTTGAGGCATCTCTCACAGTTGCATATCGTATTGCAAAAAGCAAGAAACCGCATAGTATTGGAGAGACGTTAATTAAGCCATGTGCGCTGGAAATGGTTGAATTAGTTTGTGAACTGGAACAGAGAAAAAAACTTGAGGCTATTCCATTGTCAAATGATGTGATACATTCAAGAATAGTCAAAATTTCTTGCAATATCTTGAAACAGATCATCGTTGAATTGAAAGCATCGTCATTTTTCTTTAGTATACAACTGGATGAAACTACACGCATCTTGAATTGTAGTCAACTTCTTGTTTTTGTTCGTTATTTATCTCTTGATACTATCAAAGAGGAATTCTTATTTTGTGAGTCGCTTTTGCAAACTACAAAGGCAGTTGATGTCTTAATAATGTTAAATGTTTTCTTTACTAAACACGACTTCGACTGGAAAGAAAAACTTCATTCACTTTGTACAGATGGAGCACCTGCGATGCTTGGCAATAAATCTGGTTTTGCCCTGTTGGTTAAAAAAGAGTCTCCTAATGATCTTGTTACTCATTCATACCTTCCAACTTTCAATCCCTTCAAGGATGATTTTCCCCAGTGGTAGTAAATTTAAATTTGAAATGCAATTTTAGGCAGTAACATTCGCTGCATTTTGAACAAGCTTATGCGGATTACAACAATAGTATTGCATATTAATTTATATATGTATAATTTTCTTAAAAATAGTGGTAGATTAAAAATATTAAAAATTAGGTTTATAAATGCAAGGAATACATAGAAAGCATATATTTTACTACCATTTCAAATATAGATATAAAATTTTACACCAAATGCGTAAAAGTTCGCACGTATGCTAATTTTTTTTCCTTTTTTTTTACATAGACATGCACTGGCTACAAAAACTCTTTAAACCAGCTTAAGAGAAGTATTATCAATAGTTATCAAAACTGTGAATTTTATTAGAAGTACAGCTTCTAATCATCGTACAGCGTCTAATCATGGAAGTGCGCTGACTGTCATGAGAGCAGGTTTTGAAACAAATATTTATGAAGACAGAAGTATCACTTTTTCTAGAAGAAAAAAATAACCTACTCTTCGAATATTCAGGAATGAGATTTTTCCGCTTTTTAGCGGATTTCCGCTTTTTTCACTTTTATCTCTTAAATTTCAGCTTTTTTTATCAAAAATTCAGATTTTCTAAAAAATTTCATTTTTTTTTATAAGTATTCCGCTTTTTCAGAAAATTCACCGATTTTCAAAGAGAAACAGAAAATTCAAACTACATAGCTACCAATCCTTTCTCATTTTTACTTATTTTAGCTATTTTCTCCCCTTTTACTCGCAGCAGATAAGATTTTCCGAATTTTTTACCCGCCCTCCAGATAGATCCGATTTTTGTAGTTCAAACGACGCTGTTTCTGACAAGCCATTTAGAGGTCCCAAGCCTGGAGTCTGCCAATATCTCGATTCTTATTCACACGATTTTAATATCAAACATAGCTTTTCATATTTGCGTGTTGAGATTCTTATTCACGCGATTTGAATATTGTACGTCGTGCTTCGTATTTACGCCTTTTTAAAAACCTATGAAGCGATTCGTATTCCCGCAAGTTTAAAATTCAATGTCTTGATTTGCTCATGCTGTTTATAATATCAAACATTGATTTTCATTTATACGTGATTTTAAAATAAGGCATTGGGATTCGCATTCACGCATTCTAAAAATTATGCATCATAATTCTTATTTATGCAATCTAAAAATTACGCATCATGATTCGTATTTACGCGATCTAAAAATTATGAATCGGGATTTGTATTTACGCGTTTTAAAAATTCTATATCCCAGTTTGTATTTTCTCATTTTCAAAATCGTATATCTAGTTTCATATTCATGTGATTTCAAAATCCATAATTGTTATTCATATTCACACAATTTTAAGATCAACTCTCGCGATTCTTGTAAGAAGTAAATTTTTTTTAAAAATTAGTTACTATAAAAGTGACTGTTTTTCTAACGACGATTATTAGTATGTATATGTAAGTGTTACAACATCAGAGAAACTGGAAGGGAATATATTCAAAACTTACATTCTGTGCTAGCAAAGAAGAAAAAATAGGATTTGTCACAAAATGTTTGAAAATGGACTAACGACTAAATATAGCAAACATAAAAGATATAGGAAACAAAAGCAATAACTTAAAAAGGGATTCAATTTAATTTTTTTTTGTTGGAAAAAGAGTTAATAGTTAAAAGAGTTAACTCATCATCAAAATTTTATTTGTAATTGCTGTTATTTATGCTATAAAATGCAAAATTCTTATCAAATAAAAAACAATTATCTAAACAGTTGCTGATTGTCATGTAATTTTTCAAACTAAAATACCAATTTTTGTATGTTAAGGAGTTACTATATATTTCTACTTCACTGTTATTGATATGTTTCAAAGGGCTGTAGTTAGATTAGACTATAACATGAACATAATGATTTGGTTCATTGTTAAAGTTTTTTTTTCCCAATATAATTTAAAAAGTAATATTACTGATATATTTGCTATAAATCACATAACAGTATTTATTAAAAGAAATGAAATATTAATGTATATTCTCAGTAGTTTTAATTTGCTAAACCAGGTAGTTTTTCAAGTAGTAATTGTCTCTTATGTGAACTGAGGAAAAATATAATTTCCAGCTTTATTTTTTCAATTGGTAATTTTTTTTTTCACTAAATGTTAAGTATCAATGTAATCGTTTTTGTAATAATAGATTAGTACTCAATTGTATGTCTACACATTATTTATTAACTGAAACTGTCTGGAATTTATTATTAAAGGGTTGCGCTTGCGTAAAATTTACTATCGTGGAAATTCAGCTTTTTTGCGTTTTGGCTAATCTCATCCCTGATAATATTTCAACAAAAAAAAGTATTTTACATATAAATTGGCTTACCTGGCAGATATTTTTAACCGCATGAACAATATAAGTCTTTTAATTCAAGGGCCTGATATCACCATTATGGATGCCATTTCCCTTTATTCCCTTCTAATAATTGATGTTTTTTGCAATTATTTTTTTCACAGGGGGGTGGTCCGTGACTTCTTAAAAAATTTTAAAAGGGGTCCATTGTACCAAAAAGGTTAAGAAACACTGGCTTAGAGAGTTGTGTTTTTCTGTAGTTTAGGTTTACCAATTGCGGAAGAGAATCTAGCAATGTCGATGATAGACAAAACCATTAATTTACTTGTCAACACAGTGGTGAGTTATCTGTCGCGACTGAAGGTAATCACCCAACCTCGATAGACTTGTTTATTTTATGAAGCGCTGGGTCGTTTATCGTCACAACATATCTTATTTTTAAAAAAAACTCTGACTAATTGCATGAATGTTTAGAAACTAAGTAATAAATAATACTTTGCATGAAAAATATTATTAAAAAAATAATTTAAAAAATTTATTAATCTTTTAGGGCTTTATTCAACCAGCAGTTAGCTGCATAATGGCACAATGGTTTCCTATACCCGAGAAAGCCTTTCTCTCAAGTGTATCCATGTCAGGATATCCAGCTGGGGCAATTATTGGAGGTTTTCTATCTGGTGCCTTATGTGATAGTAATTATTTTGGTGGTTGGCCTTCAGTATTTTATCTCTTTGGTTAGTGTAAATTTAGACATATTTATTTTTTCGTAACGTTGATACTTTGAATTTTTACAGAGTATAATTCCTTAAATTATTAAATTACATTCTCATTTACTTTTTCAACTGAAAATTAATGATTTCGTAAAATTTGTAAAGTCAAATTATTTGAGTTTACCAATATTTATCGTACCAACATTGTCTAATTTGATTTTCTTTTTGGTGCACTAATAGGAATTTTAGAACGCTTTGAACCATAATAATGATTCTATGTAATCATAATAATTTCGATCCAATCAATTTAACTCATATTATCGTGCAAGTTATTCCTTTCTAAATTTTATTGTATGAAAATATAGTTCCATCAACTTAGATTAAACTTCAGTCAAAATATAGTTCCATTTAACACAACATTGAGGTACTGATATTCTGATTTTACGTAGCACCAGTTTTACTGAAATTTTGAGAACTATTAAAAGTATGAGTGAATTTTTAAGTTAAATAAGTTTAATTAGCCAAGCTGTTAAATTTAACAGATCTGCAGAAAAATTTGGAATTTAATTTCATTTCAGTTCACAGAACCGAAAAGAAACCTTATTTTATACCACAACACGTTAGTAATTTTTAAATTTCATTGTCGTATCTATTTTTTTGTCTTATTACATGTCTATTTATAAAAAATGCATTTTTCATTAAAATTTTCAATTAAAAATGAAAATGTAAAATTTTTGAATCGGAATTTTTAAAATTTCTCAAAATATATACGGCAAATTCAATAGAAAAATGCAACTAATGCAAGTGACATTGCGAATGTTACAACAAAACGTAATTTTCAGAAGCAAATAATATTAACCTCTATTTAAGCTTGTGTATTTTCAAGAACATCTCTAAATTTTGGAGAAAAAAAAAACAGAACATATGCCAGGCTGAAATTTTAAGGCATCAATGTTATTTTATCAATATTATCTAAACTAATATATACTATCGTTATTGTTCTATATCATCATGTGCAATTTTAGTTATAAAATTCTTAGTCGAACTTTATTAATTTGTCGGATATATTTGCAAAATTACAAAATCTCTGTTAAATAAGCTCAATGGAGAGAACAATATACATGCATCATGCGCTATAAAATTTTTAATCCGAGTATATTAAATTATCAGATATATTTGTTAAATTACAAAATTTCTGTTAAACAAGCTCAATGGAGAGAACAATATACATGCATCATGCGCTATAAAATTTTTAATCCGAGTATATTAAATTATCAGATATATTTGTTAAATTACAAAATCTCTGTTAAATAAGCTCAATGGAGAGAACAATATACATGCATCATGCGCTATAAAATTTTTAATCCGAGTATATTAAATTATCAGATATATTTGTTAAATTACAAAATTTCTGTTAAACAAGCTCAATGGGAAAAAATATATACATGCTTCATGTGCAATAATTTTTATGAAATTATTAGTCGACATTTATTAATTTGTCGGATAGATTTATTAAATTTTAAAATCTCTGTTAAATAAACTCAATTGAGAAAAAAATATGCATGCATCATGTGTAATATTAGTTATAAAATTTATAGTCGAACTATATTAATTTGTCAGGTATCTTGGTTAAATTACAAAATCTCTGTTAAATAAGCTCAATGGAGAAAAAAATATGCATGCATCATGTGCAATATTAGTTATAAAATTCATGGTCGAACTTTATTAATTTTCCGGATGGATTTTTTAAATTACAAATCTCTGTTAAATAAGCTCAGTAGAGAAAAAAATATACATGCATCCTGTGCAATATTAATTATAAAATTCATGGTCGAACTTTATTAATTTATCGGGTAGATTTGTTAAATTACAAATCTCTGTTCAATAAACTCAATGGAGAAAAAAAAATTACTTGCATCATGTGCAATATTAGTTACAAAATTCGTGATCGAACTTTATTAATTTATCAGGTAGATTTGTTAAATTACAAATCTCTGTTAAATAAGCTCAGTAGAGAAAAAAATATACATGCATCCTGTGCAATATTAATTATAAAATTCATGGTCGAACTTTATTAATTTATCGGATAGATTTGTTAAATTACAAATCTCTGTTCAATAAACTCAATGGAGAAAAAAAATTACTTGCATCATGTGCAATATTAGTTACAAAATTCGTGATCGAACTTTATTAATTTATCAGATAGATTTGTTAAATTACAAATCTCTGTTAAATAAGCTCCATAGAGAAAAAAATCAATCCTAGGAATAATCATAATTTAATAACAAATGAGTTTACAATTTTTTGCAAGTATATAGAATCCAGTATTATTTACTCGCTAAAGATTTGATCGTGCAAGTCCAACAATTTATGAATTTGTTAATTTATGTTCCAACACGCGCCCCGGTTTCTATGGAGTTCGAATCAGGTGGTTTTGCTGGAAAAACGAAATAGAATTGGGCGTGTGTTCACAAAACCTGTCAAATATTTCCAAGTGCAATTTATTTTTCTGTATTCATCTTGAAAAGTATGATAGCCAATAATAAGTTCTTCTTAGAGATGTTGACTGAAATACTACCCTTGTTCGCCCAGTATGTTAGAATAAACATGTTGGTCCGTGTTAGTGTTTGCCTCAATAAACGAACACAATTCAAAATAATACAAACAGCCCCAAACCACCACAAACCCACCTCCAGCTGTAGATATATCGCTCAATTCTCTAGGGATGATATTTTTTCTGACCGATGAGCTTTTTTTTTTAAATAGATTTTTCACATGTTTCTTAACTTTCTGTCATACAATATTTTAACTTACATATTTTTCCCTACAGGATTTTGTGGTATGATCTTGACGTTGTTTATTTATACTTATTTATCTAATTCACCAGAAGAGGATAAATCTATTCTGATCTCAGAATTGAAATACATAATCAGTTATAGAGAATCAACACCTACAGAAAAAGTAAGACATCATAAGCTGTATAAATCAAGATAAACAATAACACAGTTTCATTTTTTCAAAATATCTACTTTTCAGAGAATTTAAGGCAATAAATATCTGTCATCTACATTTAATTAATTTTTATTTAAGAAAAAATATCAGTATTAAGAAGACGTATTTAATTAAATTAAGAAGAGAATCGTCAGTTTTGTTAATTTAATATGTCATTGACATTCAAATTAAATAAGTCACATTTTTTACTTCAAGAAAATTGCAAAATATTTGCAATACATAATTTTTATAATGTTATTCAAACCTCCATATAAATTTTTCCAAATAAAATAACAATTTATAATTCATGGTAAATGCTTTTTATTAACTACATTAAATATAATATTTCAAAAATTGAATGAATAGTGTATTATCTATATTTTTTGACGTAAATCTAAAAGTTTTTTAATTTATCTAAAAGGGATATTTATAATGAAAGAAATTTTACTGAAGTGAGTAGACCGTTTACTGAATTAGATAAATTTTGTATAGTATATTTATTTTATTTTCTGAAATAGATTGCAATTTATTTATTAAATTCTATTACTTCTTAAGCAGAAGAAAATTTCTAAAACACTAATTCTTTTGCAAATAATTTTTTACATATTACTTAATTACGTTTTACACATTATTTAATTTAAGCAAAAAATATATTTAATTGTTACGTATCAAAAATTATGTAAAAATTGCAAAACAGTCACAAAATTTAAGAGTAAAAAAGAAAATTATTAATAATAATCATGAAGCAGGACTAGTAACAGAAATAATAATTTCTTATTGAATAAGTAAGATTTTATATTTATTTGTGAAACAGAATTGTAAACTAGGCACCAACAAACTCATCAAATAATTATAAGCAGGCACAACCACGGAATCCTCTTTTTTTGATAAATTATTGTAAGTATAAATAAATATAAGAACTCTATCTGACGTGACATTTTATGTACCCATAGTTTTACTCTACATACTGGAAACAACCGATTAAAACTGGATGCTTTTTAATGGCTAAGAAAACAAAATCAATTATAAAAGATATAGACTCGTATCCGTCGTCTGTTTCAGAATATTACTTCAATTTATACGTTTCGTTGGAGGTTTACAAAAATCTCTTAAACAATATTAAAATGTGCTTGGTGCTCTCTAATAAGTCTTATTAAAATCAAAATCAGCCATTTTTTATAACATTTGGTCAGATTAAAAATCTGTTGAGTTAATTACTTTTAATATAAAAGATATAATCAAATAAACTGTTTTTAAAGAAAACATGTATTGAAACTTAATATTTCACACTTAAAGGACTCAATTATCCCTTGGAAAAGGATATTCTCAAGTTCAACTACATGGGCCGTTTTTGTGGGTATGTTTGGGCAATATTGGCTGATGTTCTACTTTTTGTCTGTTCATCCTATTTATATTGGAGCTATAATGCAATACACAAATACCGAGGTATTGTATTCAGAATAATAAAAACATGTAAAAAACTGTTTTTCATTAAAACGTTAATACTGCAATTTTGTTTTATCAAAATTGCTTTCTATGTTATTTTTCTATTACGTATGTTTTTTTAGTTAAAAATCTTAGTAATTTACAAATTTGCTTTAAATTTTTATTTAAATTTAATTGCATTGAGTCTTTTGTGCTTGTTATAAGTTCTGAAAGTATTGGTTATTCTATACCTAATCATTTAATTTCATCTATTTCTTGCTAAACCTATTCTATAGATATTTGTTTGTCATTTTAATAAAGGTTAGACCAGTAGAAGTTAAATGTTACTTTAAATGTTAAAAGGAATAAAAACAAACGTGTTGAAATAGATAAAAATAATCACACGAAAAAATACTTACAACTGTAATTTCTAACTTAATTACTTCTATAAATCTTGTGAAGTAAATTTCGCTCTTTTTAAACATAAGTATTTTTACTATTCACTATTTTACTATTTACTATTCACATTTTTACTATGTTTGCATCAAAATTAATTATGAAATTAAGGTAGTTTCAGGAAAGACTCAAACACATTGAGTCTTTTTCACTTGTTACAAGTACTAAACGTATTTGGTATTCCATGCCTACTTTTTAATGTTAGTTATTTGCTTCTATACCCATTTTAATAGTTTTTTTAAGTTAATTCTAAAATAGGTATGACGAGCTAAAGCTTTAAATGTTAAAAGCAATAAAGACAAACTTGTTAAAATCAATAAAATTAATCACATTAAGAAACACTAACACCGGTAACTTTTCACCTAAATATTTACATAAATCTTATTTTTATTTTGCTTAAATTGCGAATTTTGCGAATTTGCTTAAGAAACAGGGTTTAAGGAATTTACCTACGCTTGATGCAAAGTAGTTTGGTAGTTAACTGTAAAATGCTCAAAAAAAAATTTTTTTTCTAATTCCTTGTGCGGAATTTTCTTTCATTCTGACGGTGGAATTTTCTTAATGAAAGCAACGTGATTCAGCCTTGTACTTTAAGCATCTTTTTGTTTTGGATAATGGGAAGATGAAAAATTTACTATAGATTTACTATATTTTTCAGATCAATTTCTTGTAGACCTTTTGTTGCCTAAACTAAAAGAATTTGCTTAAGAAAGAAGGTTTAAGGAATTTACATACACTTCAGGCAAAATATTTTTGTAGTTAAATGCAAAGTTTTCAACAAAAAAAAATTTTTTTCTTCTAATTCCTCGTGAAGAATGTTTTTTTCATTCTGACGGTGAAGTTTTTAAATAAACCCGACATCCTTAAACTCTAAACCTTTGGTATTTTTTTTATCTAAATAATCAGCTAAGGATTAAGAATTTCATAGGTATTTAAGGACGTCTAAATTAAGGAACATTTCGAAGAAGGAGTTAAATACAATTTAAGTTGTAACCTAGCACAGAAAACCTTTATACTAGGTGGAGGATGCATTGAACCATATTAAATAGGTACGTGCTTCACCTACTATTTTCGGGAGTTATTATATCACTTCTGAAAGTTAAAAAAATCTTGCAAATCTTACGAATATTTGATTTTCACAGAGTGGATACCTCAACTCATTGCCATATATAGGACAGGTCATAATAATTTGGGTATCAAGTTACGCATCAGATTGGTCTGTGAAAAGAAACTATGCAACTGTTTGCACCGTTCGTAAAATCTGCAACAGTCTAAGTAAGTCCATTCAAAACGATTTATTCACAGATATCTCATAATTTTTTTATTTAAGAAACTGCGTATGAAAAGAAACTAAATAAATTGTACTACCGTAACCGAATTTCGAAGTGGAATCAGGAACAATAGTATAAAACATGATTGTGTTTCGTCAAATTCCATAAATTTCAGTCTAATTGGTTCTTCGAATTTTTTTAGAGTTAATACTTATAAAAAATATGCTTCAAGCATTGAGTCAATTCAAAAATTTCCATTGTTTTGAACAATACAATCTAATAGTTCCTGATGTATAAGAAATTTAATTTTGAAGCCATAGAAAAAAAATGTTTACTACAATTATGTCATGAATTATATTTAACAGTCAATAAGTCTATTGTTTTATTATCAATTCCTAAGAAAATTATTGTTTATTAGTTAATTTATTTTAGGCTGCGTAGGATTTGCACTGTGCATGATTGGCTTGACTATTGCTCAATATAATTCAAAGTGGGATGTGATACTTATTATTATTGCTATAAGTGCTTCAGGATTTGGATATCCCGGTAGCTGTATTGTTCCCTTAGATATGAGCTACAATTTTGCAGGTGAGAAAATTTCTCAATTTATTGAATTTAATCAATTTATAGAAAAATTTCCCTAAATATATTAAAGAACATTTTTAATAATTTGCTTCTCGTTATTATTTATAACATGATTTGCTTCATTTCACGTTAGAATATAATATATTATAAATTACTCTTACTAATTTAAAAGGTTACAGGTTAACTGTATAACTTTGTTCCGTTTTACAACTATGATGCCCAAAATATCACAAAGTTATATATAAAAATTTCGAAATGAGTTTTTATACATCATTTTTAAAAACACAGTTTTCCGAGTTTGAGAAATGATGCATAAATACTTATTTCGAAGTAGTTATAAAGTAGCTGCAAATATAATTCATGTATTAAATTCACTCGGCAAATTCTGTTCATATGTAAACATGGTTCTCTGCGAAAGATCACTTTAATTTAAAATACTTTTCTATTTAATCAGTAACCTTACTTTCCCTTAAAAAATTAAAACTGAAATATTATTTTAAAAACTATATAAAAAAAAAGTACATTATTTTGAATAATAAAGTCCTAGGTTCCTATATCACTGTTATCCTGCGTCACCTGCGTTTATTTATAAGAAATATTAAGTGATTCGTTTGTCTTCGAAATGACGCATTTGGCGAAATTTCTCCTATCGTTTACAATTTATTAAATTGAAACTTACATTTTTCTTTTACTTTACAGATATTTATTTCTTAAATTGCCTTGAAATTGACAAAGAAATTGTTCTCTTTAATGAGAACCTGTGTATAGTGTCGTTAATAACTTTTAATATAGTAATCGGATCTTCACAACTTCACATACTAAAACTAAATTACTTAAAAGGATTAAATAGTTTAAAGAGTTCAAGGTGGTGACCTCAAATATGCTAATTCATTAGTGCAGACGATAGTTAAAGTTCTAAAATTAACTACAAAAATGCACTTTCTCTGAATAAATGATGTTTGATCTTTTGATAAATGATCTTTTTTATGGATTCGGATTCTTTACCCTCAAAATATGAGGGTTTCAACAATCTGAAAGATATGGTACTAGTTTTTAATTAGAAAAGGGATCCAAAGTTTGAATCCCTTTAAGTTAACTTTACTTTTTGCGTATTTACTTTTTTCGTAATACCTCATGAATTTTTCAAGAACAATTATTTCAAACAAATACAAAAAAAATAATATTTAATAAATATTTATAATTATTATTTTATTTAAAAATTCATCAAAAATTTTTTAAATTTTATGTTTTTTTACATCATTATAAAGAATGTAATTTAATAAGACATAGTATAAAATTTGAACGAAATCATTCTAATAGTTCCCAAAAAATAAAATTTTTATATGTTTTATCCACAAAAATTCAATTTTTCAAGAGCTATTTTACCAATTTCATTCAAAACCAAATTATATTTTGCCTCATAACAATGCATTGTTTAAAATGATGTAAAAATTTACATACCTTACATTTTAACTTTCTTTTAAATAAAATTAAAATAAAAAGGATTAATGAAGAAAATCTTTTGTAAACCTGAAAGCTCCTCAAGCTTTAATTTATCAAAAAACTAAATTTAACTTAATTTTCTTTAGATTACCATAAAAAGAGCAATTAAATATATTTATCATTAAATGTTGGAGAATACGGTGGTATATTTATAAATTAACAAATGAATTCCTCTTTCAGTGATTTACTTTTAAATTTTGAATGAGATTGTTATCTTGAACAGAACTGTCATGATTTTTGCTTCTTATTTTAACAAAAATATTTATAAAAAAAAACATAATAGAAATGGATAATAGGAATAATAATATAGTTTTAAATAGTTCTGGATAACTTCGAAAATATATTGAATGTCACTGTAGTTAAAACTATTTTTTTATTTACATTCAGATACAAACTTGCGTACAGTCAAAATAAAATATAATAATACAAGTCCATTAAATAAGAGCAACAAAAAAACATTTACTGGTAAATGTTTCTACACGTTTAATTAACTTTATGATAATTTCCTGACATTATTTATTAATAATGAATCCCTCTTCTAGTTTTTTTTTGTTCAATAGTAATGCTCCAATAACAAATAAATATGGTTTTAGACCTATAACTTTTCATGTCACATACAGAAATATTATTAACTTACGATATTATTACTAAATGCACTTGCGAGACGGTTATTTTTATAGTCACTCTTGTACTTTCTGAGACGGCGTGACTTGATTCAACAAACAAAGCATCCAAACATCTGCTTTTAAACAAGCAATATTATTACACTCACGTTGTTTTCTGAAAAAAAGTTTTAATGACATTTTTACTGAACAAAACATAAAAATATTCAAGACCCAAAACTTTACATTTTTTAAAGCTAGTATTTAAAAAAAAAGAAAATATTTTTCATTAAAGGTATAATAAAATTTTTTTGAAATGCCTAGAATCTTTAAGTGGTCTAACTAATACACTGGTGGACAAAATTAAGAGATGGAAATTTGGTATGTATATACCTTATTCCATGATAATAAAGTGATGAAAATTTGGTATGGATATACCTTATTCCATGATAATAAAGTATGCAAAACAAAAATGAAAGTGCCATTCACTGGCAAGACCTATTGCCAATAAATCCATTGCAGTCTGAACTTAAAGATAAAAGATGACAATAAAAGTGAGGCTTGCACAATGTGCGTTGCCTCTAGCATTTAGTATGGTTACCCCTGACAGACAAACAGCATGCACAACGAGTATGCATGCTGTTAATAAGGGAGTTAAGGAGGACTTGTGGAAGACCCTCCCATTCTTCCACCAGAGCAATTTTTAACTCCAGAAAGGTTCTGGGGGGAGGTTGGCGCATCGCAATAGCTCTCCCAAGAGCATCCCAAGCATGTTCAATAGGATTCAGGTCAGGGGATTTGGCTGGCCAATCC